CAGATTTGTTCATTTCGTGATGGTATCTTCGATTCTATAATTTTGGTGAATATTTTTGTCATTTTTGGTAAAAAGTGATATTTTCGACTTCTTGTAAAAAACCAATAGTCTGATTGCTTTGATATTACATATATAGGTACTACATGTGTACCTCTCTCAGATTTGTTCATTTTGTGATGGTATCTTCAATTCTCTAATTTTGGTGAATATTTTTGTAATTTTTGGTAAAAAGTGATATTTTCGACTTGTTAAAAACCAAAAGTTCAATTGCTTTGATATTACTATATAGATACTACATGTAACCCTTTCTTAGATTTGTTCATTTCGTGATATCTTCAATTCTCTAATTTTGGTGAATATTTTGGTCATTTTTGGTAGAAAGTGATATTTTCGACTTCTTGTTAAAAACTGTAAGTCCGATTGCTTTGATACTATACATATTGTTCATTTTCTAATGATGTCTTCAGTTCTTTAATTGAAATGTGCATTGCTAACAGCTCAGCTATCTCAGCCGATAGGCTGCTTGTTTTTCGTTCTATTTCACACAAGACATGGGATCTTGCAGTGAAGGGAAACTAGTCTACCGCAGCAATAAGAATATGCTGTAAACTGCTTTAATTACAAAAAATGTCCTTAAATCAGTGTAATTCCTGAACTTTTGTCGCAGTGAAAATTTCCAAATTTGTTCTTCATGCATGCAATTAAATCATCAAAGAGCAAAAATTCAACATCATCCGATTTGTTAAGTTTCAAATCAATTTCTCTATTGAAAATGAAACTCGCAAGAACTTTTATAGCAGAATGTGGAAAAAAAACACTGTATTGCTCATGGGATTTGCATAATTAATGAGTCATTCATAAAAAAAAAATGTTACCAGGGTACTCGTATTGTGATAAGCAAGGATTCTACATTCGATTTCATGGTCAAACAAAATAGTAATTTGGCAATTCTTTTGATTTTAACTTCACCCAGTTATTTCAAGAACCCTTTTAATTTCAAGTCGGGTACCTTTACTCCATATTTCTACATGAAACAATCATCGTACATGAGAGTTTACATATGATGCTGGTCGTATGAATTGATTTGTGTTTTAAATGCATATCATTTCTTGTTACAGGATGACTTTCCACTCGCCAGTCTGCCATTATTGGGCTATACTGTTAGTATCCCATCTGAAGGTGATAGTATACAGAAAGACTATGTCTTCAAACTACAGTTTAAAACTCATGTATATTTCTTCAGAGCAGAAAGCGAGTACACATTTGGAAGGTGAGTTCATCTAAGTATGCAGAACTTATTTACGTTAGCTATTTGTCTCAGATGAAGATAACATACAGGGAACCAATAATGTGGCTTCTCGTGGCTTGATTTCTGTCAGATTTTCACCACTTTTTAACTTTAATCCATCTGTGAACCAGACTTATTTCACCATGGTGAGTCTCAAATGTGATATACGCTTTGAGAAGTTACATGAGTTACATTTTCTTATCTGTGATTTTGTTTTCCCTCCTAGATGGATGGAGGTTCTTGGAAGTGCAACATACAGTTCAAAGTTTACGCAAGAATGAGATTGAAATTAAGTGGAAAAAACCAACAGTATTAATCAAATAATTTGTGCATACTATGCGTTAATGGATACACACTGGTCTATCATTAACATACGAAATCCGTTCGTCGATATGTGATGCCAGAAGAATCCTACAATTGGGGTCAATTATGTTGCTGGTGATGGCTTTGACATTGGTGTTGCTGCTAAGAAAACACTGACGACGAAAAAAATGAAGAATATAGTGTCTTGGTATTTCTGGCAACTATGAACTAAAGGATACAAATGCAATTCCAGTGGTTTGTAATTATCCCAGTATATATAACAGTGGCACTTTATTCTTGCCACTTGTAAAAAAAAAAAAACTTACAAATGTGTGCTTTTGTTATATATTCTATTTTTTGTTTGTTTATTTTCTTTGAGATATTCTGTTATTGATGCAAGAACACACATCACTGACCAAAATGATGGATTACCCTTCCCCTCTCCCCTCATTATTGAGTTTTGTTTTTACTAAACTTTTTTAATTGAAATTTATTCTATTTTAAGGGGAAATAGTGTATTTTAAGCATCGTATGAGGTTTTATAGTCTGAACTGATCACAGCAACTGTCACGTAGTTATAGAGATAGTTTTGTTTTTTTGTGTGGTCTTAAAACCAATAAAGTACTATGCCCTGAAGTCCAGGTTTGTTACAAAGCAATGTTTGTATATTGTTAACTACTAAACAGTGTGTTATTTATAGCCTGTGTATTCGTCTTCTTGAAGACTGAGCGGTTCTGTATGTCCACATACTTTGTCTTAACTGTTTGCGTACCATATTACACAGTCATGCTTTACTAATGAAATTGAAAGTTAAACAAAAACATTTTTTTTTCAAAGTAGAAACAAATCAAAATTCAGTTCATAGTTACTTAGATTCAAATCAATGATAACAATTTGTGGAGCTCATTAATTAATTTACTAGAAATCGAGGACTGTTTCTTTTACTAAAAAAAAGGAAACATCTCAGAAAAAAGATGAAATGTTTAAAAAAAATGTGTATTATTTTGTACAACTAGAAATAGTACTGTGATTATCAAGATATGCTTTGAATGTAAATGAAAAATTGTATTAAAACAAAAACATATGTAAGACTTTTTTAATGGGATAGTATTAAAATAAAGTTTATCTTAAAATTTGAAGCCAGCTATGGAAGTTGACTGTCTTGGTTTTAATCACAGCTATGGATCTGTCTTTACTTTAGTAATTTCGAGTGAATTGTTTTTTTGTTTGTTTTTTTTTGGGAGGGGGGATATGGGATCTTTTTGAAATATTTAACCCCCATCGTCACATTGAAATTTTTCATTTTATTGTATTTTTTTAGAGGCTTCATTTGTTGCTATTCACATTTTGGTGGCCATTTTGATTTTACATAGTATTCACTTGAAAAATCTTGTCTTGGAATAATTGATTTTGAGTCGCAGCATTTGTAGAAAGCAGGAAAATTTGTCATTGCAGCTATAATGTGTAAATACAAACTGTGTTAAACTGTCTGCTTATTTAGTGTAATATTTTAGTGGTTTGTCTGTTGCAATTTTTTTGGAAAAAAATGGCATTCAAAGAGTTG